TTGTCATCTCGTTTTCTGTTAATATGAAATGTTTATTTTATACATGCGTATATAGCAGACAATGTATTGAGAAGATGAAAAAAAGCCTGAAAAGAGTTTTTATTTAAAGTTCATATCCGTAGCAAAAACACACATTTAAGTATTGATGATTTTAATTTTAGGCCTTTATTTTTTCAGGACTCTTAAGCACAGATGATATAAACAATTTTTTTTTCTTTGGAGGGAGACTCAATATCATGTCACAAGTTTAGAAAAGAGGATAATTCTTAGAATTTTTTCTCATAAGAACTGGAATGTGAAAAAGACTTGGAAAATATTAGTAATATTTCAATATAATTACAAATATAGACAAAACACACTCAGTACAGGTTTACAGATGAAAACAAAGAATGATTGCACTTAGTGTACAAAAAGTGACCCCCAGTAAATTGCGCAAAAATAAAGTATATGTAGATAGTAGCCTAATGAGATTAATAAAGTAATTTTTCTAGGTCTTAATCGCAACTTTGCAAAATTACTGGAATTAAAAGTAAGTAAAAATCAGGAACGAGGCTATACTTTGTAAGAGGGGTCACTGCAATTCATGAATTTCCTTTGTTATTCCGATCTTCAAAGCTGGGATACATGGTGAGTGCATTCTTGTCCAAATTTCTCAAAAGGACCGAAGGTGTAGAACTGTTGAAATACAACATATTTAAAGGAGAATTTTGGGCAAGCCTGCGCTCAGGGTAAACTTTTTAAAAAAGGTACTAAACGCCAACCGTTTTCTTCGCTATTTACAGGTATTTACATTCATTGACCTCATTGTGACCTGTTTAGTATTCCAATATATCACGTGATTTGTAGATTCAGGTAACTTTGTGAATACAAAAAAAATCAATAAATCACGTGGCTGTAGCTCCGATTGATAACATTGCATCGGAAAGCGACCAACTTATACAGTTACATGTACATTTTCAATTAATCAACATCAAATTCTTTTTTTCGCCTTAGTATTTTTATAGGGTAATAGAATATAAAATTAGACAAAATATAATGATATTTTATTTATTGTAGTCCTTGGATTTAGGGGGCACGTTTGGAGGGTCAAAGAATTTCAAAGAGATTTAGTCCCAATCGTCGCAATACCATCCTCAATGTGTTTTTACTGTAAAAATATATGCACATAGGGTATAGAAGTAAGTAGATGGTTTAACACATGATGCTTTCTGGAACACCCTCCCCCCCCCCCCCCCCTAGAAAAAAAAACAATATCTAATTAAAATTAGATGTTAGATCCACTCGCATACTCTTCACACGGACATTGATGTTAGTGTAGCGAGTTTGCGGGTGGATCTAACATCTAATTTTAATTAGATTGGCAAACAAACAAACAAAATAACAATCACACATACAATTGATAAAATTGTTTTAGTAAGGTAATAAAATAACACCACATGCAGCATCACAACAACAACAAAATTCTGTACACCATTATATGTACTAATATTTACTGTACTTTTAAAAGTATGGAGAGAGAGAGATTTAATAAATTGGATATGGCATAATCTTTTAGAAAATACAAAAGAAGTTTTTTTCTTTAATGGGATTTTTATTCCGTTCTTATTTACGTACTTGTAGGCTTCGTTTATCAGTTTATCTTAAATGTTAAATTTTCACCTAGAAATGACTAAAATTGAGGGGAAAAACCTGGATTTATAGAGGGAGTACATCCCCCACAAGATCCCCCAGCGCCTCTCCCCCCCCCCTAAAAAAAAATCAAGCAACAAAAAAACTGGCTTAAGCTTGAGAAGTTCTTTGTGTTTACTTTATATTTTGTAGCCATTATAACTGGCTATTTATACATATTTTCAATCGATCGATAAATGCCACGCCTACTCCGAATATTAATGTGACACAATTAAAACCTAACTCGGACAAGCGCAACATTCCGGAATTAACATCCACTAGAGGGCTTTTTTGGTTAGGTGTAAAATTATTAAGATTTGAGTTAATTAGATAAAGTTAGAGGGGTCCAAAAATGGGGCCACGGCACTATGCTTAAGTGGAAACATTCTTTCAGAATATGTTATCTTAAATTGGTGCTAAAACTGTAATATGACCTTTAGAAAAATGTACCAAGCCAGGTGAATTTTATGAGGAAAAGCAAAAGGGTAAAATTCGGCCTATGTGATATTGCTGATTTTCAAAAGTCTCTCAACAAAATTCACTCTTAAGTTTTTGTTCTTTTTTAACAGAACTGAAAGAAAAAATAAAAATATACGTACGATTCTTAAGATGGATAATTGTATCATTCAATTTGGTAATATCATTTTGCTGGGAAATTGTCAGTGTTTGGATCTCACTCTTCATCCGTTTCTGCTGCGCATCCAAACTAGAAAGAGAAGACGATAGCTCTGCTGTGTAATTGTGTACATCCAACACAGAAAGTGATAAGTTTTGTATTGTCATATTCTGTTGCTGTTCGTTTGTCTTCTGTTGTTGCCTGAGCCTTGAAAGCGTGTTGTCAAAGATGGTCATGTTATTGTGTACATCCAACAAAGAAAGTGATAAATATCGGTCTCTTAGTTCCAGGTCTGTGACTGTGGCGGATATATTCTTCATCATCTCCTGTTCTCTGACTCTGGCTGTCTGTTCTATTTCAAAGGTTAAAATCCTTTCCATTTTTCTTAGATCTTCTGATGTTGTCAAATTTCGTTGCACAAGCATGGAAGTAGAGTTCAAAATCTTAATCAGATCTTTCAAAATTATATTCTCTTGAAGCAAAAATGTTGATGTTGTATTCAAATTTTTCAGATTTTCATTCAGGCAAGCCTCTCGCTGTGATGCAATGTATGAAGTATTCAAATTGTCCAGTCTTTCTTTCAAAATTTTGTTTTCCCTTTCTAAGATTGACATCTTTATTTGGGCTGTCTGATTCCATTGCTTCAGGGTTTGAATCTCTCCCTCTAATAACTTTTGCTGTTGTTCAGATTTCTGAATTTGTAGAGCCTGTTGTTTCTGATCCATCAATATAGAATCCAACACTTTTTCCAGATAAAATAGTTGTTTGTATACATCAGAATCAGAATGTCCATTAGATGCAGAAGTACCATTGGTTTGTCCATGGAACAACAAACTCTCTGCTTTCAAAAATGTGCACAGAAGTACCATGAAGGTGCTTGTAATCCAGTGCATTTTGATGATTTATGGTAAAACTCAAACAGACAGAATATTAGGGTGGCGTGGCTTTATCATAAAACAAAATGTTATTATCTGATAAAAAAAGAAATCAGCTATATGATCACTGCTATCTTTAACCTGTATATTTAAATAACTGGTCGCTATTCATACATTACAAATAGCAATTAACGGTTTATTTTTAAAAAGAAAAAGCACCAATACCAAATTTATGCTCCTTGAAAAAAAATCAGATTACATTTAAGACTGACCCATTAAGCCAAAAAGCACAAGTAAGCATTTAATTCTGATCGAAAATTGACCATTGACTGATGTTGTCCTGTGAATAAGATTTAAGCATTTAAGTGTTAGAACTTGAAGCCTAACCCCTTCCCCCCATTTTTTGCAAAGATAGATATAAATAAATATGGGCATTGAAAATTGAGGCTTACCTTTTTTGTTGGTTTAGCCCCCTTTCAATTTACTTCTGATGCCTATGTTATGTTTGATCAAATGAAAGGTTGTGCCCCATTTAAAGGGGGGAAATGAATATAAAAAAGGGTGGGTATCTTAAATATTTCCCAAGAACCACTGGTCAGGATAAGAACAAAATGAGTTTCCTGACACAGCCATTAGTAGGAATTCAAGTTTGATCAATTTATAGCCCCCTGGAGTAGGATGGAGCTGTTTGCATTATTATAATGAACATTAATTCCTCTATCAAAACTGTAAAATCCATTGAAGTAAATGAAAAATGATATTGTAAGCAATATCTAAAGGATCTCTTGTATTTCTTAAAAATACACACTGTACAGTGCATATTTTAACTATTTGAACAAGTTAGTGCTACATATTGGGTGCATTCACAGTTCTGCCATTGGTAGACAAAAGTTGCCGTTGGTAAAATTAATTACCTCTGGCATGCCACTGGTACCAATGTTTTTTGCCAATGGTATATTTTTCTGCAGACAATCTAGAGTGTGGTTAATGTTGGTAAATGACGTCACAGCTAGTTATCAACATGGCAACAAGCTAGAAAGAGGATTCACAATGATATAAACGATTTTTCCTCGATAAGCCTTTTTAACAAATCATGACAAAATCACATAAAAATCATATCAAAGACTTAAATTCATGATTTTGAAGTATGATTTAGACATGATCCATTAAATGGATTATATAAAACTCATAGATATGGCAACTAAAGAAGTGTGATCCTGATGTGGTAAAAGTTTCTCGGCTATGAGTCTGCTATGATTTTCTTGTGATTCTGGCATGTGCCAATAACTTAGAAGACAAAGAAATCTGTAATTCAGTATTACCAACGTTTCCATTGGACTCCCATTGGTAACATTGGTAAAATTGTTACATTTGTTTGCCAATATCCGTTCAGGGTTTATTGGTACAGTTGGTACCATTGTCAAACTATTGCACCAATGGTATATTGAAAGTTGGAACTAATGGTAGAACTGTGAACGCACCCATTATATTGAGTTGTGATTTGATTTCATATACCAGGGTATTTGTTTATGTATTGTAGAAATCTCCCAATGCTCCACCATTGAGTCTTGGTTTTTGGAATGGAGACATAGACTTGTGCTACAAAGATGGAGCCATTCCTTACAACATATTTCCGTTTGTAGCCTTAGAGTTTGCGGAGAATTTGCAACAGTCTTTCAAAATCATTGTAGCTCCACAGGTATAAATTTGTAAAAAGCATGATTTAGTGAAAAGAATTTTTTAAAACATTGTACAGACTATAAGAGAAATCAGTTGCTAAAGTATCCTAGGTATTTTTCTTTCTTTTACTCATCTATTTTTGTTCTTTTGTTCATTTTCAGCAATACATTAAATCTGTTGGGAAAAAAGATGATAGCAACCCAGATGAAATATGTTTCAAGCTTGGTATTGCAAACTCCACATCAGGTATAGCGTGGCATAAAAATACAAATACTAAGATACAGGGAATGATTTATTTTCCATGCATGATTGAATTCAGCAACTTTATCTAAGAGAATGACATTTACCGAAACAGCCTTTTATTCGTCAATGAAGAGGAAATGTTTTATCACACTGATAATTTTTTGATGAAATACAAGTAGACTGATTTTTTTAAAACCATGGCTCCTGGCTCCTGGATAAACTCAGTTTATTGAAAAAAAAAATAAAATGATCATTAAGACCCACTAGTCTCTTGCTAAAAAATCAAAACAAAATTTTGTTACTAATAAATAACAAAAATATCTCTCATGACACAGGCACAGTGATTGGAGCAGTGATAATGGAGGGGTTTTATGTGGTGTTTGATCGACAGAATAACAGAATTGGGTTTTCGGACACAACATGTCCTGCAGTGGCCCAGATGTATAACAAGTCACATGTGTCTGGGCCTCACAAGTTTTCAGGTCAGTATGCAAGGCTTCACCTCTGATTAACATCACAGATTCTAGTGCATAATTGTAAAGTAAAGTGTGTGTCATTTCACAATTCTTGGAAAAATGTATAGTTTGGCTATGATTAATTTGAATGAAAAATTACATGTATCAGGAAAAAAATGTCAGTATTAAGTTGTGAAAGGACAAGGTATGGTAATGGTGGAATCTGGCCCCTTCTTTGGTTTAAAAATCAGAACACAGTTAAAACTGTGATAGTTTTTTGTTATACCCCCCGGAAACGAAGTTTGGAGGGGTATATAGGAATCACCTTGTCCGTCTGTCTATCTGTCTGTCTGTCCGTCTAGCTGTCCGTCCGTCTGTCCGTCCGTCTGTGCAATCGTGTCCGGTCCATATCTTTCTTACAGAGGGTCATTAGAATCTACTACTCCACACAAAGATTGCCAACGACTTAAGGGTGTGTCATGACCTTTACCCAAGGTCATTTGGGCAACTTCAAGGTCACTGGAAGAAAAATTTCATAATTCGTGTCCGGTCCATATCTTTCTTATGGATAAACTTGGTAGGTTCTCATTTCACACAAAGATCCATGACCCAAGGGTATGTCATGACCTTAACCCAAGGTCTTTAGGGGAAGTTCAAGGTCACTGGAAGAAAAATTTCATAATTCGTGTCTGGTCCATATCTTTCTTATGGATAAACTTGGTAGGTTCTCATTTCACACAAAGATTGCCCATGACCCAAGGGTGTGTCATGACCTTGACCCAAGGTCATTTGGGGAAGTTTAAGGTCACTGGAAGAAAAATTTCATAATTCCTGTTTGAAACATTTCTTACTTCTGAAAAACCCAGCGGGGGGTATTTTGTCCCGTTTGGACAGTTCTAGTTAAAAAGTTTGTTCTATGTTTTTAAAGAACGAAATGTGCTATAAAATTGATGAAAATTTGCACAAAAATGAGAAAATTTGGAAATTGATATATTTTTTTTACTCTTGTGAATCCTATAACTAAGAGCCAATACTCTTTTTGTGGCAGGGGTGAAAACAGGTTTACATTGATAAACTCTTGTATTATTCTAATCAACAAGCCAAACCAGTAGCCAAAAAGGGTCTTAGCCTATTTTGTTGTTTAAGGGTTTAAAAGTGCGCATTTGTTTATGAAATATTTTTGCATATTTGATGCTGACCAAGAATTTAGCCAAAGTTAGCACACAAAGAAGTATCAGGAGGCTACACTGATCAATTTTTATCAGAGCTATGTCTTATATGAAGTTTCTTGGTCAAATGTAAAATAGTTCCTTACATAGGAGTATATAGGAAAAATCTTTAAAAATCTTCTTCTCAAGAATCACTCAGCCAGGAAAGATGAAACTCATGTGGAATCATCATCAGGTAGTGTAGATTCAAGTTTGTTAAAAGCATGACCCCCGGGGCTAGGGTGGGGCCAAAATGGCAGATTGAAGTTTTACATAGGAATGTATAAATCTTTAAAAATTTTCTTTTTAAGAACCACTGGGCCAGGAAAGATGAAACTTATATGAAGTTTCTTGGTCACATGTAAAATAGTTCCTACATTATGTAAAATTTGTTCTGTGACAGTCAAAGCTGAGCTATCGTGATCACATATACAAAAACCACCCTTTAGTTGATCCTTTAGTAGGATTTGCTCTGACTGGACAGTGTTCTAGGCCATCTTAACCTGTGTACAGTAATTAGGGCCCCACAAGGATTTGTGGGTGCCCTATAGTAATCACTCTGTCTGTCCGTCTGTCCGTCTGTCATTCTTCCGTCCACAAATTTTCTGTTTTTTCCTGATAACTTTTTTTATGTTTGCCCAAATAAGATCAAAGAACTATATGCGGTATATTGCATATATTTGCCCCCACAAAAGTCAAATTTTGAAAACTTCCTGAAATGTGCTGAATTCAATAAATTGTATGAGAAATATAAATTAACAGAAAATATTATGAGGTCAAAGCAGTGTATTCACAATTTTTGTTTTTATGACGTCAAAAACTAGTCCGATTTTATATCCTTTTTCAGAAAGAGGACAAAATGGACAAAATTTCAACAATTTTAGCTTTAAAATTTATAGAGCGCAAGTTTGTTCAGGAACAATATTGACATATTTCATTGATATTATCATTCTACACATTATATCAAAATATTGATCCTGAACATACATGCGCTCGGTGACTTTTACTCAAAATATCGACGAAATATGTACATTTTTCTGTAAAATTCATAAAAAACTGAAATTTACGTCATGTTTGTGACGTCATTACGTACATATGGCATCATTACTTATGAAAATATTCAGTGCTTTGAAGTCAGCATATACTCCCCTGTTTAAGAACTTAATTAAATATATCTCCATCAAAGTTTGATTTGGGGGGCAAATATTGGCTATTACCGAATAAAGTTCTTTGGTATGTTAGTTCAATAGGCAGAAAGACATATTTTGATGTTAAGTTTGTTTCTCTATGTCCCCTGGTTTGGAGCTGGGGTGGTGGGGTAGATTCCCTAACTTTGTATAAGAGTGCATTGGCAAAGAGAGATAACTGCTGAAGATGTTCCCATTGTAAACTGAATGCTGCTATGAGTCCCTTGGGATTAATTAGCTTTCCTCCTGAAGAAAATCCAAAGCATTATCTTTATCTGTCACATTGAGATTAATTAACAACTCTGTCTGCAAATGAAGTTTGTCTTGAAGTTAAGTCAATTTGGAATGCTATGAACACTCTGAAATGTGGATTTAAATATAAATGTTTATACTTTATTTTTGTTAAAATACGTACCTTACACAATGAGTTATGATTTCATTGAATTCTAAAAACAAGAAATAGATTAAAGAAGATATATTCTTTTATTTTTACTTTTTTTCTTTTATGTAAATTCATGAATATTATTGATTTTTAAGGTAGTTGGATAAAACCCCCATTCTATCATTAATACTGAAAAAGTTATTATTGTAACTTTAGAAGAAAATGATGAGAGAGGTACAATTAAATGAATTAATCCCTTGGGATTAATTATCTAGCCTGCTGCAGAAAATTTATTAGGCTTGTCTTTATCTGTCACTTTAAGATTAACGAAAACCTTTGTCTGCAACTGCTACTTTAGTATTTGTTTTGAAGTTAAGGTCAAGCCTTTATGATATTTGCATTCATTGAATGTTGGGATTTTTATATAACACAAGCTTCATTATTGTTTAAATTTACATTCAATGTTAAGTTGTTCTTTTCTGCCTAATGTAAATACAAGAATATTATTGACAGGTTTTTGGATATTCAGGAATTATCTTGAAATTTTAAGAATACAGTTGCTGTTGCTTATTCTTCATATATTTTTAATCATTCTGAATAGCGAATCCTTATAATTCTACCCCATGGCGGGGCCCTTCCTGACTGCATGGTCAGTTTTCTAGTTTAGATACTTAGTAAGATATTTGTTTTACAATCATATAACATCCATTTTGCTCATAAATGTTGCTATTCTTATTCAAGGTTCTGTTGAAAACTGTGCCTATGCCAAGCCAGAGAAATCCAACCAAACCCTGGTCATTGTGGCGTACGTATTAGCGGGGATGTGTGGAGCCTGTATCCTGCCTTTGTTTATTCTCTTTATTCAGTATCAATGGCGGACGTCAAAGTGTTACGAGAAAATGAAGAGACAGAATTCTGACGGAGACTCCAATGATTTAATTGATGAACCACACTTTATGCAGGATTCTTAATTAAACGATTTTGTCATGGTAATGTCTACTAGTATTAGTGATGAGGGTTGAATTTGTCTGTGGTAGGATATAACTAGATATTCTTTTTTACTGTTGAATAGTTATCTATAGAATTGAAGTGGGAAGTGTTTTGCTTAGACGTCGCGCATAGTATTGGGGTTTGAAATTGTGTAACTTGTAACACTGTAAACGACGGGTGTTAGTATTTTTGGTCATTTTATCGTTTTGGCTACATTTTGTACAATGCTTTTCTAATGTCTGGTGATGATGTCACATGATTTTCATTAATAATTTTCCAATTTACTGGCCGATTTCGACTGTTAGACAGTGTTAGTAAAATTGAAAGGGTTCTGTAATATGCCATGATCTTGTCAAGCAACAATAAAAGACAGAATGTTTGGTAAAGATTTTTTTAATATATAACAGGTTCTTTTCGTAAAACTAAGTTGATAAATGAAATGTGCAAATCAAGAAGAAGTCAAATGTTACTTTTAAAAAAAATTAAGCAAGTAGTAGGACAGATCAATAGAGCGATTTTGATGTCTTGTCGGTTTTGTTACTACGACACAAACATGCGTATGATAGTATTTAACCGGGCGTATAGCACCAACATTAGCTGCATTCTCTATTTTACTGGGAAAACTTGCAACAAACAAAATCTTATTTTTAAAATGTGCAAATAAATAAAATTTTATATTTCAAAAAACACTAAAAAGTAAGACATTTTTAAGAAAACGGGAGCAAAAATTGGATGTCTAGTCTAATTTGTTACACCTTTAATTTTTGACGTTTTTATGCTTAAACGACATATGCAAGTACGTCAGGAAAGTACATTTTAGACGTTACAAAATCAGCTTCAATTCTGTGCGCAACGTCTTAATTTTATTTAAAAGTTATTACAATATTCTGTGTTAATCATAAGTTTATCCATGTCATCATCTGTATAGAAATTTAGATCTTGATGTTTGTAGATACTTGACACTGTAATCAAAATTTCATTTCATGTAGGCTATTGCACAAGGCATAAAATGGTTGTTTTGTTTAAAAAATATAGTTTGACTAGATATACTTCAATGGAGCACTAATGATTAATTATATTAATTTTTTTTGTATATGGAACTGGTATGTTTGAATATGTAATGCATGATGTTAAAAATTACTGCTTGATGTTAGCAATATATACTAAAAGATTATCTTGACTTAAATTTTACTTAGTTTTGATTATAAAACAATTTTGTTCAATTTGTTGAAAGTAGGTTGCATTTCACATTTAATTTACAATGGTTGTATATGCTCTGAATCATGATTAACTATAATAAATCAACAGGTATTGAATGTTACACATCTGAATTTTCCAGGGCATATGTGTTGTATAAGAATATATATTTCTAGATTTCCCTGTTGATTCTATAAATGAAGGTTTACAATTCTTACCTGGAAACTGTTGCTTAATATTTAGAGAATCAACTATATATCTACTGGCCATGTTAATTATTAAGTAGTTCTGTAAGATTTGTTCATATAACAGGAAAGAGTGATATATGGTAAGTGTCTCAATTTGCCCCTTAAAATGAATATCTTAATTTTACTTTATATATAGCTTTAATTTGTACAGCTATATATGTGACCTGTATTGGTCATTTTCATTTTGACACTTTAGAAATATGACATCATTAAAATCATGTTTTCCCGCTATTTTAGCATATTTTGTATAAAACTGCTTATTTCCAAGCAGTTTTTCTTCCAGAAAATATAGAGCGCAGCCTAGAACAAGCTTTATATTTTTATATTTTACAAAGATGTATCTATCCAATACTGATTAGTGACAGAAAAATTATGTATGTTCTACACTGCGCTCTGTTTCACTTAAGAAAAATACATCAAGAAAAAGGCATATTTTTGGCTTTTTAGGTCACCTGAGTAACTCAGGTGACCTATTGCTATCCGTTTTCGTCCGTCGTGTGTTAACATTTGAACATTTTCAGCTTTCTTCTCTGCAACCACTGAACCAATTTCAACCAAATTTGATATAAAGCATCTATGGGTGAAGGGGAACAAAAATTTTGAATTTCATGTTCCCCGCCCCCCTGGGGCCTGAGGGGTGGGGCCAAAACCACTAAAATTATTGCAATCTTTAAAAATCTTCTTCTTTACTCCTGGACATCAAGCAGGCAAACTGCTGGCATGAATGTAATGAGCATTGAGTCCTCTACCAAAATTGTCAAATTGATGGCCCCAGGGTCAGGGGTTCTAGTGCTAGGGTGGGGCTATATAGATTATATAGTGAAAATGCATTATTTCTTTGAAAATCTTCTCTGCTTCTGGGTATTGAATAAACTAACTAAGTGCACAGTTATGATGAGCAAGAGTGCCTCTACCAAAATTGTGAATTTTATGGCCCCAGGGTTAGGGGTTCTGGTGTTAGGGCGGGGCTCTATAGATTATATAGTGAAAATGCATTTATTCTTTGAAAATCTTCTTCTCTGCTTTTGGGTATTAAATAAACTAACTAAGCACATAGTTATGATGAGCAAGAGTGCCTCTTCCAAAATTGTGAATTTTATGGCCCCAGGGTCAGGGGTTCTGGTGTTAGGGCGGGGCTCTATTGATTATATAGTGAAAATGCATTTATTCTTTGAAAATCTTCTTCTCTGCTTCTGGGTATTAAATAAACTAACTAAGCACATAGTTATGATGAGCAAGAGTGCCTCTTCCAAAATTGTGAATTTTATGGCCCCAGGGTTAGGGGTTCTGGTGTTAGGGCGGGGCAGTATTGATTATATAGAAAATATATTGATTTTTCGAAAATATTTTCCTTTGCTTCTGGGTTTTATGCCAATGATTCAAGTATATATATTTATGATGAAGAAAGGTGCATCTAGCAAAGTGGTCTTTTATGCCCTCTGGGTCAGAGGGGGGGGGGTTACATTGTCTGAAATAAATTAATGCTTTGAAATCTGCTCTTTGGTATTAATGAACCATTTTATGATAAAATTTGTAAAATTTTGAAATATGTGGCCCCTGGATCAGTGGTTCCTTTGGGATGAGGTGCACAATAGGCTATAAAGTGGAAGTGCATTTTCTCTTTGTTACTCTGATCTACCTCTGGGTATTAAGTAAACAGAGTAAGCATGCTAAATTAATAATTATGATAAGCAATGGTGTCTCTTTCAGAGTTGTAAATTGTGAATTTCATGGCCTCTGGTTTAAAACACGAACCAAATTTAATTGTTTGAAAGTTGTTACACAATTACTCAGGTGACCTATAAGGCCCATGGGCCTCTTGTTTGTTAGATAGCAAAGAAAGCATTATTTCTCATGTTATTTACAGCTAGAGAGTGCAAACAAATGTGAAAAATATATTAGAAATATTTCTAATATAATCTCTTCTTCAAAATAAATATCAATTAAACTTAACATATCTGAATGTCATTCTAAAGTGTTGATTTTTAGGGGGCCAAAATTGGCTTTTATCATATATACTCCTTTTATGTTATATTTTATGTTTTTTGATTTCAGATGAAACTGCTGATGTCATTGTTATTATACATGTGCCTGCATCCATATTTTTCATCAAACATTTTCGTTTTCTTGTTTGTTAATAATAGAGTCGATTTATGGAAGTTAAATTGTTTTTATAGGCAGCTAAAGATATGTGTTATATATACAATATATAACTATGGATTATTCTCGTAGGAATGAAACAGAAAATTTTCTGAGGCCCAGAGGATTTGGACCTGGATTTTTTTATGTGGCATTATGACAGAGTAAAAAAATCTAGTACATTATGAAGCAATAGAGAGTTTCAAACTAGTGTTTAAAAATTTCGTTTAGATATTCTTTCCATTATATTTCCAATACTCAAAGTACATCTGCTAAATACTAAAACATGTTCATTGTGATATTTTACCATGTTGGTTTATTTCAAGCTTCTGAGAATTTCTTTAAATAGCTAATAGAGGGAATGTATTTGGAGAATTTAAAGTAGATTTTAAATGTCATTTATATGTGTAGCTATTGTTATTCGTTGATAAATGGGTTGCATTACCTTAAGAATTTAAATTTATCTCTCATGTTCATTATAGTAATTGACATATTGTATTTTATTATTAAATTTATTTCATTAACATTCTTCATGGCTTCAGATTGTTTGAGAATAATTTTGGAACTTATATATTTTTCATCTGACATATGTTAAATAAACTGCTACTCCATCAACCACATTGTAAAGTTTTTAAGTTTTTCTATAAGTTACAGCTTATATGATGTAGTTTTAAAAGAGTATATAAAATGTGCATCATGTTGCATGGTGCAATATATCATGCAGCAGTCGGCTTATTGGTGAATGAAATGACAAGGCAACAAATTGAAATCATTCTCACAAAACCTTTTATAAGCAGAGCCAAAATACTCCTCTGTAAACAGAAGTTGGATCTGTTGCAATTGAGGAGTAAGCATCCCCTGTCAACCGGTCACACCAATCTGTAATTGTTTAAACAGAAAAATCCTTAGACAAATATTACTAGTTAAAGTTTCCTATTTCCATCGAATTGTTAAAATATTGCCTTTGTATTTCTAGTAAATCCTTCATTATGGGTAGAAATAAGTAACATATCTCTAAATGAATTAAAAATAGATATAGTTAAACAAACCTGTAATAAATGCATTTAGAAATACTAGGTCTGTTGATTTGAAAATAGGCTATATTAGTCTGGTCCTGATTTTTAAAAAAAGATGGCTAGAAATAACTTCTAACGGCAAATAATTATCATTTGGTCCAGCACAGTTTTTTAAACTAATTCGAGTATGCTGAATCTGAAAAAAATATACTCGCCTTCATGAAAATGGCAGTAAAGAGGTCAAAATGGCGATTTAAATTGGCGGGCATCCAAGTTTTCTAATTGTCTCTTAATATCGTTCAAAATGGAGAAATAATGAGTAAATATCTCACTGAGTATAATACAACTAGAAAAATTATAATAGAATGCTAACATTATTAGTTTTACTCAAAAAAATTAGTAGTTTTACACAAAATTCGAATTTTCTCTGATTTATTTGTCTATTAGTTCTATATTCTGCTTTGTTCACGATTTTACATTTGCAAACATCCATACACTACAGATTTGTATTTTTCCTCTGCATCTCACTATTCTACAATTGAATGATGGTGCAGCTACAAGTTAAAAGTCAAATTGGCGGATTTTCGATTTTTTTCAAATTACTTTTTATAAATACAAGTTGAAGTATATATATATATTTTTTCAGAAACAGTCATATACTGCATTAGCTATAATTGTGAAATCTTTCCTATTAATTTTTTGTTTGACAGAAATTACCTCTATTTTAAGAAACATCAAGTCGATATATATGCACTTCAGATTTTATAAATAGTAACTCAAGTCTATATGCTGTTATGTACTCAATCATGTGAGCAAGTTTAAGCCAATCAGAGAGCTTGAATATATATTTAAAATAATATACTCCTATATCATGTGGTATATGCTTATATTTGTCTCTAGTTGTATTGATTATAAAATAATTTTAATCTGAAGCTTCTCTCACTTGGTATCAAGATACATTGCTTAAAATTTTAGGGGAGGGGAATGTTCTGATTTAGGATTTTAGGACCTTGTGAGGGTAAACGCTGTCGTTCTAAACATTTTGTCATCAGGACGAAAATTGTTCAAAAATAGAGTTGACATTTCATAAAAAAGCAAATCGTTTTATTTTTTGTAGTACATACTTATATATGTAACTGCATTATACGGCATTTTTCTTTAACCTCTCTCTCTCTCTCTCTTTCTCTCCCCTCACCCCCGGCCCCAAAACAACTTTTCGAAGTTTTCCAGCTAATTCAAAGCTATTTTACATTGAACAAATATAGGATGGAGTTTATTTAATGTAAAGGGAAAATTATTGATTTCAAGTCTCATTTCTTATTGCATCGATTATATCAATTCATCCTTTAAAAATTGAGTTTTGAAGAATCCATACTAAAACTTTCTTGACTGATTTCAGTTTAGTTTTCCCCAAATCATTGCGGACAATGGAACCACAGATTTGAGGTTACCTATGAAGGTGTATGCAACAGTGATCAACAACATCAAAACATGTCCAGGTGTATTAGAAGATCTTAAAGGGCAAAGTTGAAGGTGTAAACAAAATAACCTTTATTCAAGTAAAATGAGTTGCAATTACAGCAACATCTAAACAGTTAAGGACAGACGAGACGTTCCTTAATAATAGATAAAATTTTCCAAGATTTTGTCATTGAAGTATTGCAACTTAAACATGTTTACTCACAAAAATTTGAGGTACCTTTCCAGGCATTTCTGCAAGATACCAGGGGTAGTTTTTCTTATATAATCCTTTTGGGAGGAAAATTAAATTTCCAGTTTCAAATGTTTAACTGTTTGGATTTTTTAAAGACGTTTAGAAACTGGTTTAGAAATTAGAATGCAATTTAAATTTTGAATATTTTCCATATATTACGAAGATACACAAAACAGATTTTGAGGAACGTCTCGTCTGACCTTAATGAATACAGTGATACTTTTAGTTTATACATATACAATGTTATAATATGAATTTACATCAAGTGATATAAGAACCTTTACTGTTAATGGTTTTGAGTAAATGTTCATTTATCTTTCACAATTTTTATTGCTATTGATCTGAGTTGATTTTTTTTCTTTTAAATATAGTAAGTGTCAAGAAAGTATAAAATACTTAAATGCACTGATAAACTGTAATCATGTTACAGTTACTGTGGTAGTTTTAGTCTGAACCATTAATCATGATGACGGAAAAGGTTGTATCTTCTAAACTTGAGTAAGGACTACTACCATGAAACAATCTTATCCATACTCGATCTCCCATTTGTAACTGGTAGACAACAAGGTTGGAGGCTGACTGGGTGACAGTTACAGGTCCACCAAGAAAAGCCATGACACCTACCTTAGGTGAACCATTAATCATTATTTGGGTCCAGAAGGATTTATGGTGATCTCCCACATTAGAACAGAATATAAGATACAGTCCAGCTTTTGGGGCAGTAAACATTCCTGTTGTAGGGTTATATCCACCTCCCACCTGGTACATGACTGTTGGGAATATAACTGTGTCTCCACTTGCATATGTATGGCCAGTTTTTGCAGCAGCTGTAAAAGCTACATTGAATTGGACACCTAGAAATACACAAGTACTGCAAATACATTTTTTTCAGGTCATAGTTAGGTACATTTACATTGAAATTTTAATTATCAATACATGGAACGATGTTGGTATATTACATGTACTTTTGTTCTCTATTACTTAAAGTATATTTTATATTTTTTTTACATCATTCATTGATGTGAAATAATGTTACAGTAGTAGTCTCGCAAACGGTATTTAAATCAATTTCACAGTTGGTTTACTAGAAGAACACAGCAAATGTAAATATTGTTTTATGTTTTTTACTTTGTCATGCCATAGTCTATAAATTCCTAGTATATTTTCTACCAATATTGCATATACATATTTGATAATCTGATACTTTATAGTTATTATTAAAACCTTAAATTGTTTGAAGCAATTGAACATACGATTCTTAAGATGGATAATTGTATCGTTCAGTTTCGTTATCTCATTTTGCTGTGAATTTGTCAGTGTTTGGATCTCACTCTTCATCCGTTTCTGCTGTGCATCCAAACTAGAAAAAGAAGACGATAATACTGGTGTGTAAATGTGTAAATTCAACAGAGAAAGTGATAAGTTTTGTATTGTCATATTTTGTTGCTCTTTGTCTGTCTTCTGTTGCTGCATGAGCTTAGAAAGAATATGGTCAAGGATTGTCATGTTGCTGTGTACGTCCAACAGAGAAAGTGATAAATATCGGTCTCGGAGTTCCAGGTCTGTGATGGTGGCAGACATGTTCTTCATCATTTTTTCTTCACTGTCTCTGACCGTCTGCTCTGTATCGAAAGTTAAGATGTTCTCAAGCTTTCTCAAGTCTTCTGATGTTGTCACGTTTTGTTTTAATAAAGTGGATGAAGAATTAATGTTTTCTAGTCTTTCTTTCAAGTTTTTGTTTTCGCTTTCTAACAATGATATCTTCATTTGGGCCGTTTGATTCCATTGCCTCAGCGATTGAATCTCTCCCTCTAATAAGGTTTGCTTTTGTTCGAATTTCTGAGCTTGTTGTTTTTGATTCCTCATTATTGAAATTAAATCCCTTTCCAAATTAAGAAGTTGCTTGTACACGTCAGGATCAGATTGTCCACTAGAAGCCGAGGAGGAAACATTGGTTTGTCCATGGAACAGCAAACTTTCTGCTTTCAAAAATGTGCACAGAAGTACCATGAAGGTGCTTGTAATCCCATGCATTTTTGTGATTATGGTTAAAGTCAATTCAAAAAGTCCAGTTATATGATGAGACTTTATCATAGAACAAATTTATTTGTTTTTATCAATTGATAAAAACTGAATCAGATGCATGGCCTCTTCATGGCCTGTGGGTTTGGACGCTGTCAGGAAGAACTTTAATGTAGTGAATTCCTCCTTCTGTTTCCTTCCTCTCATAATCCTTTTAATTTTTTGGCAAATATTTTGCCTATAAGACTCCTCCAGAAATTGAACTGCCTCCCTATATATGATTTTGAGCAACAAGACCGCTAATATTTAAGAAAATAGCGTATAAAACTGTTTTGTGTTCTTGCAAATTTTTGCTCTTCTTAGGCCTTTGCAGTTGTCAAGTACATCTTAATCTAAATTTATTTTGAGGGTTTAACGCAAAATGGATACAAGTTTCAAGATCTGTTTGAATTTTAGAAAAACGTGGATAAGAACAATTTTTGATATTTTAAAAATAATTGTTTAGATTTTCTACACGCTCTCGTTTTCACTCATTTTTAAAAATTTAGGGTGACCTTGAGTATGAAACATTTTTACAATCAAAAGTTTCTTTAAAACAGTGTAAACTACCCCCAAAATGATGTCTATCAATTTTGATATGTGTCTTAAAGTCAATGAAACATAATCAGTGATATTGTTTTGAATTTTTTGCAAATATACATTGGTTGTTGTATGTCCTTACTGACTAGGACGGTACTTATTTTTTATGCCCATTATATAATTATTGTTAATTGAAATCCACCTGTTCATGTGTGTATGAAACACACATAAGCTGCTGTAAATTTCACATATTTCAGTTAGTATATTTTTGGGAAATTAACAAGTTTTACAGCAGCTTTAATGACGCGTTCAATTTTACTCTAGTTTACTGATTCTTGACCATTCATTTTTAATCCAGTGCCTCGACTAGCCCTTTTTTTCCAGCTTCCCACAATGAAATTATGCGATGAAAAGTGGTCACATAAACTGTTATCAATTCATTAAAGATTCAATTATTAGAGAAAGTCAAGCTTAATGTCATATGACTTCTATGTTGTATGTCATCGAGCTGATGACATTATTTATTGAACGCCCCTCGCATACTTGTATATCATATGGTACATGTTTATATTTGTCTCTAGTTTTATTGATTATAAAATAATTATAATTTGAAGCTTCTCTCACGTGGTATCAAGATACATTGCTTAAAATTTTAGGGGAGGGGAAATGTTCTGATTTAGGATTTTAGGACCTTGTGAGGGTTAACGCTGTCGTTCTAAAAAATTTGTCATCAGGACGAAAATAGTTCAGAATAAGAGTTGACATTTCATAAAAAAGCAATTATTTTACTGTTTTTGTAATACATACTTTTATATGTTACTGCATTATAAAGAATTTTACTATAAAGCTACCTCAACACCGGCTAAAAAACAACTTTTCTAAGTTTTCCAGCTATAATTCAAAGCTATTTTATACTGTACAATTGTACAAATATAAGATGGGAGTTTATTTCATATGAAGGGAAAAATTATTGATTTTAAATCTCATTTCCTATTACAGATTGTATCAATTCATCCTTAAAAATTGATTTTTGAAGAAACTATACCAAACTTTTAAAATTGATTTAAGGAATAACTGTCTAATTTTTCGAATTCATGAAGTGATCAATGGATTGGCTTGTGTGATAAATTGCATAAACGCCGAAGGCGTTTATGCATAAAATTATCACACAAGCCAATCCATTGATCATCTTCATGAATTCGAAAAATAAGACAGTTATTCCTTATATTTACATGTTTTGATTCCGCCAATCCACGGGCTACAAGCCTACTTCTCTCTAAGTGATGTCCCGCCCTGCACGTGGTTTTTTTTTTTTGGAACCGCGCCAAAACATTCATGAGGAAATCAATTACATTTACAATTGGTAATTTTATCTCGGACAAAGACATTGGAAATGTAAATATTTCAGTATACATGTAGTTTTCCCTAAACCATTGTGGACAGCGGAACCACAGATCTAAGGTTACCTATGAAGGTGTACACATCTGTGAGCAACCACATCAATAAAGTATTTCTAGGTATTTTAGAAGATCTTATAAGGCAAAGATGAAAAGTGTAAACAAAATAACCTTTATTCAAGTCAAATTATTAGCAATTACAACATCTAAACAGTTAATGGATACAGTGATACGTACTATGATACATTTACAATGTAATCATTAAAATTAACATCAAGTGATATATAAGAAGCATTACAGTTAATGGTTTTGAGTAAATGTTCATTTATATTTCATAAGTTGTATTGTTATTGATTTGATTTTTTTTTCTTTTCAAGGTATAGTGTCAAGAAAGCATAAAATACTGTAATCATGTTACAGTTACTGTGGTAGTTTTAGTTTGAACCATTAATCATGATGACGGAAAAGGTTGTATCATCTAAACCTGAGTAAGGACTACTACCATAACGCAATTTTATCCAGACTCAATCTCCCATTTGTAACTGGTGGACAACAAGGTTGGAGGCTGACTGGAGGACAGTTACAGATCCATCAAGATAAGCCATGACACCTACCTTAGGTGAACCATTAATCATTATTTGTGTCCAGAAGGATTTATAGTGATCTGCCACATTGGTACAGAATATAAGGTACAGACCAGCCTTTGGGGCGGTAAACACTCCTGTTGTAGGATTGTATCCTCCTCCCGCCTGGTATATGACTGTTGGAAATATGACCGTGTCTTCACTTGCATATGTTTGACCAACATTCTGCAGCTGTAAAAGCTACATTGAATTGGACACCTAGAAATACATAAGCACTGCAAATACATTTTTGTTCAGGTCATAGTTAGGTACATGAGCATTGAAATTTTAATTATCATCACAGGGAGCGCTGTTGGTATATTACATGTACTTTTGTACTCTAATACCTAAAGTATATTTTATTTATATATATATTTACATCAGTCAATGATAGTAATGTAGAAGGCCCGCAAATGTTATTTACATAAGTTTCACAGGTGGTTTACTAGAAGAACACAAGAAATGTAAACATTGTTTTATGTTTCTTACTTTGTCATGCAATAGTGTATAAATTACTAGAATATTTTCTACCAATATTGCATATACATATTTAATAAACTAATACTTTATAGTTATTTTTAAAACCTTAAATTGTTTGAAGCAATTGAACATACGATTCTTGAGATGGATAATTGTATCGTTCAGTTTGGTAATGTCCTTTTGCTGTGAATTTGTCACTGTTTGGATCTCACTCTTCATCTGTTTCTGCTGCGCATCTAGACTAGAAAGTGAAGACGATAGCTCTGCTGTGTTGTTGTGTACATCCAACACCGAAAGAGATAACTTTTGTATTGTTATATTCTGTTGCTTTTCATTTGTCATCTGCTGCTGCTTGAGCTTAGAAAGTGCGTGGTCAAGGATAGTCATGTTGCTGTGTACATCCAGAAGAGAAAGTGATAGATATCGGTCCCGGAGTTCAAGATCTGTGATTGTGGTAGACATGTTCTTCATTATTTTTTCCTCAATGTCTCTGACAGTCTGCTCTATTTCGAAGGTTAGAATGTTCTCAAGCTTTCTCAAATCTTCTGATGTTGTCACGTTTTGTTTTAAGAAAGTGGATGAAGAATTCATGTTTTCTAGTCTTTCTTTCAAATTTTTATTTTCACTTTCTAACAATGATATCTTCATTTGGGCCGTTTGATTCCATTGCCTCAGCGATTGAATCTCTCCCTCTAATAAGGTTTGTTTTTGTTCGAATTTCTGAGCTTGTTGTTTCTGATCCCTCATTATTGAAATTAAATCCCTTTCCAAATTAAGAAGTTGTTTGTACACTTCAGGATCAGAATGTCCACTAGAAACCGATGAGGTAACATTGGTTTGTCCATGGAACAGCAAACTCTCTGCTTTCAAAAATGTGCACAGAAGTACCATACAGCTGTTTGTAATCCCATGCATTTTTGTGATTTGTGAGTCATTCAAACAAGTCCAGTCATATGATGAGACTTTATCATAAAACAATTTTTTTTTATCCATTGATAAAATCTGAATCAGGTACACTATTTTATCTTTCATCTGATGCTTATTTTATAATAAATCACTGTTCATCATACATACATCACCAATTGATTATTGAAATGAAAAAAAAATAAACAAGCACTCAAGTACTACGCATTTATAACGAAATGAAAAAAAAGAAGAAAACAAATAATTACTTATAATAATTGGATATTAAGTATATTGCTATGTTTTTAAATAAATGGATTTGATAACATTTATCATATTAAATACTGAATCCTGAAGATTCATGGACAAGATTAATTCTTAAAGTCCTGAACAAGTAAGTGAAATAAGATAACACCGTAAGAATGCGGGAAAGATAGCACAAGCTATACCATAGGGTATAGCTTTGCTAGACGTGAAATTTTCAGGATATATACTATGCCCTTTTGAGTTTAATTTGAATAAAATGTAAGTTATTGTGAATTAAAGAGCGATATATGGTAATTGTCTCGATTGGTCCCTTAAAATGATGTTCTTTATTTACTTTATATATAGCTTTATTTGTACAGCTATATATGCGACCTTTATTGGTTGTTTTCATTTTTATCAATATGCCCTTATTTTAGAAATATGACATCATAAAAATCACGTTTTCCCGCCATTTTAGCATATTTTGTGTAAAACTGCTTAATAATTTTAAGCATTTTGTCAAAGTTTTATGCACTTATGAAATACCAGGAGTCGACAGTGCAGACCAATGCTTATCAGAGCTATTGGGCTATCTGAAGTTTCTTGGTCATTTTTAAAATGGTTATATGTGACTTTGTTCTGCCATAGTTAGATTATTATGATCACATATATACAGAAGCCACCCTTTTGTTGATCGTCTAGCAGGGTTTCCTCCCACTGGACACTGCTCTAGGTCATCTTAACCTGTGTGCAGTGATTTAGATAATTTTTCACTTTATACATGTATATTACACCATTTTTTTCTATAAATGTAGCTATTCTTATTCCAGATTCAGTTGACAACTGTGCCTATGCCAAACCAGAGAAATCCAACCAAACCCTGGTTATTGTGGCGTACGTATTAAGAGCTTTCTCTGTAATGATTTGAAATTTTATATAGGAGCTGTGGCACGAATAGTCTCAGAATTTCTCCATACTCTCTCTGATAAAAGTCATTAATACCCTAAACTGAAATTAGGCTAAAGTTGGTTGGTATGCTTTATACATGTAGTTACCATGGGAACATGTCTTAAAGTTCGACAAATGGCATTTATTTAACATGTTTAGAGACCCATAGTTAACATTAGCGGCAAAGCAAACAATTGGCAATGACTGTTTCTAAAAGTTGAAGGTCAGATGTCTCAAATGCATGATACACATGTTTAGTAAATCAACTATTACATACGTTACTATGGTACGAAGTAATATTCATTGAATTTTATAAAGTCATACACGTAAAAGAAAAAGCAATTATAGGATGAAATGTGACCAAATAATAGAAAAAAGGCCTTGAAACATATACCAGGAACAAAATATAATATTTCATTTTGGTTGGCAATGGTTGCCAAGGTTTTTACACCACAGAGAGCCTTCAAAGTAACACTCTGTATTTTCAAATCTGATTCTATCTTTTAAAAAACACATTGCCTCATAACTTATGATCAATTTTTAAAGATGTTGGTGTGCTTCTAGTTTTCCCATTTGAAAAAATTCAAATTAGATTCTTTAGATGGAGTGTTGCTATGGAAATAAACAGAAAATATATGCTTAAAAACCTGAAAAATATTTTCTTTCCTTGGATACGTACCTTTAAATGCAGATTCCCAAAACTTTAATGATTACTATCTTTTAACAGCTAACCTGACTTTTAATTTTGACCATTATCCAATCTCTAAGTGGATGCAAGAAGTTGGCACACAGGGTTTAGTATTGATATAAAGTTGACAAAATCGAACATTTTCCCTACTTAGTAACCATAGTAACAGTGTTGTTTTCTTCATTTATCAATATATGATATTTGTTTTCTTCATTTATCAATATATGATATTCAACTTCAGTTTTAACAAATAAGTACTATTCAAGCTGAGTCCTTCAATTTGATTCTTGATTATATGGCAATTTAATTCTTAATGCAACGAAAAATAATTCACTTTTAAGCACTGGTACTTGTCTCCACGGTAACACTGCAAAGTAGCAATTATACCCAATTTTTCTTATGGTTTTGGTGTTGCAAGGTCCTAAGGATGAATATTTGCCAGTCTTGAATTTTCGTGTTTTTCCTCAAGACAGTTGCATTAACCAAATCTTTTGCATGGTTACACTGTGTTACAATGGTAACCATAAAAGTTCTTTAAAGAATAATATTGCTTATACTTATATACTTAAGGTCAAACATTTTCATTAATTTTTAAAAAGATCTTTGATTGAGTTTGAGCATGTAACACCTACCATTAGTGAATACGGAGTGTTTTTCAGCATTTTTCAGCATTTTAAATGTATTCCAAATGTACCCTTGCTTACAAGTTACTTAGAGATATACTCTAAACAGTTTCTTTACAGTATAAGTGACATCAAGGTGTCATGATTTTGTGAGAATTGTTTGTTTGCTTTTTCTAGTTTTTATTAAGCCACAGTCAAGATTTAAAGTTGCTGAAAATCTCGATTTTTCTAACTTTTCCAGCTGTTGCCATAGCAACCGAGACACTTAGCAACGAATTTTGTTTGATTTTTGTTTTTGGTGTCAAGTACTAAGCATGGGTGAAGTTTCATCAAAATCGGTGACCATGCATGGCAACGAAGTTTAAGTGGTTACAGAGAATGGTTTTTAACAGGGATCTGTGGAGCATGTATCCTGCCTTTGTTTATTCTCTTTATCCAGTATCAATCGCGGAGACTCCAACGACTTAATTGATGAACCAAACTTTATGAATGATTCTTAATTAGAGGATTTTTGTACTAGTGTCTACAAGTGATTGGGGTTAAATTTGTCTATGGTAGAAGATAGCTAGATATTCTTTTTTTTAATGTTGAATAAAAATGTTTTTATGGAAGTGTAGTGAGAAGCGTTTTGCTTAATTTTATTTAAAAGTTAAAACAACATTCTTTGTTAATCATGAGTTTATCCATGTCATTAATAGGGTCTTATATAGAAATTCAAATGTAACATATTTGTAGATACTTGACATTTTAAACAAAACATTATGTAGGCTATCATCCAAGGCATAATATGACTATTTAATTTTTAAAAAATAGTTTGATTATATATTTCAATGGAGCACTAATTTTTATAATTTTTTTGCGTATTTTCTGTATGTGGAACTGTAGCTGCAATAATGTAGACCTGTCCCTTTTTTGGAGTGGGCCACATTATTGCAGCTATTAGAACTGGAATGTTTTAATACGCAATACTTAATGTTGCTTGTTGTTTGAAACATAGTCTTTACTGAGACTTAATTAGTTTTGATATTAATAAAATGATTTTGTTCATCCTGTTGAAAGTAAGTTGCATTTCACATTAACAATGGTTTATAATTATATACTCTGAAGCATGAAGATATTTTTTAAAAAAATCAAATCAACAGGTATTGCATTTCGACGCAAATAAATTTTCCATGGCATATATATTGTACAAGAAAGTATTTCTAGATTTCTCTGTTGACTCTGTATGATTTGTTCATATGACAGGAAATTTTCTTTAATTTTTGTACAGTAATTTGATTTTAGATAAAACTGCTGATGTCATTGTTATTATATGTGCCTGCATCCATATTTGTCATAAAAAGATTTTCATTCTCTTGTTTGTTAATGATTGAGAAGATTTACGGAAGTTATTTTATAGGCAGCTACCGATAAATGTTAAAACTATAGATTGTTCATGTAGGAATGAAACAGAATTTTTTTTTTTGGTCATTAAGGATTTAGAATTGGAGTGTTGTTATGTGGCATTATGACAAAGTAAAAAAAATGTACATTTAATATAAAGCAACAGAGAGTTTCCAAATAATGATTTTTTTAAAAGATTTTTTTTTAAAACTTATTTTCAATACTCGGTGAACATCTGCTAAATACTTAAATATTTTTCAATGTGATATTTTACTGTGTTGGTTTATTTTTAGTACGTTTGCGCGGATTTGTTATGTTTGTGAAAAAGGGAGATTATTATGGAGAATTATAGGTAGAATTAAGTGTTACTTATATGTAAAACTTTCATTATTAATTGAATAAGGGTTGCGGTTGCAATGTTAACATAGAAAAACATTACTCATGTTCATTATAATAATGCACACAATTTTATTTATTATATGTAGGTCAAATACATACATTTGTTTTATTTTCATTCTACATGAATCCAAGTTAATAAACTGCTACTCCATCAACATCATTTAGAATTTTTTGTTTTGTCTAAAAGTTGCTAACTTAATAAATACATTTATAATAAACAAATAGTGTGTGTACGAGGGGTTATCAAAAAGTTCTTGGACGACTAGCACCATAAAATTTAAACTGCTTTAGGTACAGCTGTGCATTTTAAAATACTGTAAACGAATTACATTTGGCGGTGTATTCTTTTTAGCGTTTTGGCGGAAATAAACTTCCCCTATTTAAAGTACAAGGCTAAATGTTTTCAACATAGGGGCCTATATCCCTTAATAATAACATTAAGTAATGCGCTAAATCTAATCAATGCTTAATTGTTCAAAAATCAATTTCCGCCAAATACTGTACACGCTAAATATGATACATTTACAGTATTTGGTAAGCATCATCTCTTTTATCTATGGAATAAAACCACAAATCATTAGTTTATGTTTCAATGAATTATTTATATTTGAACTTTTTTGTAAGCATAAACAATGGTATGTCAAGGGGATGCGATCTCAAACACGACGTTTTTTCGAAGTAAATGTTACTGAGAAAAACATATTTGTTATGACCATTTAACAACCAAAAATTCCGTTAATTCAGTTATGTGATGGGACACCGTCAGATATGCAATTTTTGCCTCATTCCGAAAGTTCTATGAAATTTCATCATAAAATTGTATGGAGCGTTTAAATAATTAAGGGCTTGAAAATGACGTCTGGGGGAGGGGTTTCTTACTCCGAAAAAAAAACTAGTATAGAACTAGGGAATATTCAAACTGGATACAGAGAAATAAAATGTATCTATAATACTTGATTTTAAATGCCAAAAGAGATACAGAGGGATGAAAAATGCACATTTTATGTCATATTGTAGTCAAAGGGTGAAAAGTAAATCACGTCAAAGACGTTGATGATGTGGATATTGAAGCCCAACAAGTAAAATATTCAGGCATAATCAAAGAAGAAGGAATAATCTTTCCCTATGTATAGATTCATTTTCAATGTTAAATGCATTGACAACAGCTGTTCATAAAATTGTCATATGAACAATACGTGTTTTAGTTTTAACTTAACTCCAAGAAATCTCATTATGATATGTGTATTGAGACAGAAGGGGCAGGCAAGGAGAAATAATGACATGTCGGACGTCATGAACCTAAATGACAACAGTTTCTGGTGATCATATAATTTTTTTTAATTTTATGATAATTTGGCAAATTATCAAAGTATGACTATCAAGCTTTAATTCCAAATTTCTTTACTTTTGTTGTTTAATGTTCCGTATAAATCTTGTAAGTACAGACCACATAGTATTAATTTTACCGCACGAGTTTTGATAAGTCCTCGTATAATTGCACCACAATACTAAATGATGAATGAAATATGAAGATAATGAACAGCGAAAACAACACAAGTTATGAGCAGATTCAACAAAAGAGGTGGAATCAGATGTGATGGAGGAGTAAACATCCCCTTTCTACTGATTAAACTCGCTGTGTGGGCAATGCTATGATTTGATATATGGAAAATCTGTAGACAGTAATAATTGTTTTTATTATATACCCATCAATTTCCTTTCTTTGATTACTGTTAATTTTACAGAGTTTGATCCGATTTTCCGGATCACCACACTGTGGTTTTCTGAATCCATATCACCACTCTCTGAAACTGATGACGTAGTACGCAAAAACATGACGTTATTTTTCTTGCGCGTTAAAAAGTCCCTTGTTATTATGCTTTGTTTTATGGATAAATATTATACAATTGATCTCTTAATTTTTATTTTGCTATATTTAGCTAGTTATAAACGGGTTTATAATAAATTGATCATTATAACAGTAGCTAGATCCGAAGAGACGCATAACGTCTCGTTGACAGGCTCGTATCATCAGATAAAATTTGACGCTTCACATCTCGTTTGATCTGATGATCCGCGCCTGTCAACGAGACGTGATACGGCCCTTCGGATCAAGTTACTGTTATAATAATATATATAAATCGACATAAATGATTGCAAAACGTGTTCTTTATCATGATACATGTATCAGTTGTATATCATTAAGAAATAAGTACTGAAATTTATGTCAGCTTTGTAATGATTGAGGTGGTAGTGGATACTGGCAATATTAACATAGATTATGAAGAGGTAACTTCTACTGAAGTACTACAAAAATGTGCCTATTAACAACAGATCCAAAAAAGTCTTTGTCGCGAAAATTGATCGTTGCGAACTTGTATATTCCCAGTAAATCGCGAAATAAAGTTCGTCGCAAATAAAAGTTGGTTTTCAGTATTTTATATTGAAAAATCATAATGTTGATGTTTATTTCAATAAATTTATGATATCCATTCATTTTCAAAAGTTTTTGTATAAATTCGAACTTGTTGATTTCAATACCCTTTCCACTGGTGGACATTGGAACCATAGAGATAAGCTTTCCTGTGAACGTGCATGCATCAGTGATCAAACATCAAAACCTATGGCGACGTAATCTATTATGACGTGGGTTTAAAATCAGGAAGGACAGCAAGTATACATCAAATCAATTTTATATGTGAGTTTAAGTTACAATCATAGCAACTTCTAAACATCATATGAAAACTATGGTACCATGGAAACTATGGTAATCATATTACATTGTACTGCATGAAATCATGAAATATCTTTGACTGATAAATATTGATAATGAAATAAGTATTTATTATCATCCTAATATGAGAGATATAAGTACGATATACTGTAAAGTGAGTGTTCCTTCATAGATCATTAGTTTTCTGTAATTATTGATTTCAGTAAGATTTTTTTCTTCTCTGCATGGAATAAGTGTGAAAAACATGTTCAAATTTATATAACAATGAAAGTCATCATCACCAACAAGGTAGTATTAATCTGATCCATTGATCATGATGACAGAAAAAAGTGTTTCTGAGACGTCTGAGTACAGATGACTACCACTGCGTACTTCTATCCAAACTCTGTCCCCCACCTGTAACTGGTGGACAACGAGGTTGGAACCTGATTGGTAGACTAACATAGAAGATGATCCAACATAGGCCATGACTCCTGCCTTAAAGGAACCATTAATCATTATTTTGGTCCAGAAGGTTTCATGGTTAAGTGCCACATTAGTACAGAATATGAGGTATAGTCCAGCCTTTGGGGCAGTAAATATTCCTGTTGTAGGGTCGTATCCCCCTCCCACTTGGTAAATGACTGTTGGGAATTGAACTGTACCCGTATATGCATGTCCGCCATATTCTCGTAAAATTCCAGCTGTAAAAGCTACTTTGGATTGAACATCTAAAAAACACAAGACAGTAATATATAACTCTATTCAAATCATATTGATTTAGTACTAACCATATATATTGAAAGTGAATAACATCAAAGGCAGTGTGTGTATAACTGATGCAATAAGTCACCTTATAAATATATAGTAAAGGCAAAAATATATCATTTAGTTCGCTAAATTCAGACAGTCCAATCAAAATGCGTGATTGAGATTGACGTCATGTTATTAAGAATAATGTGTAATTGCATGTTTTCACAAGTACACTAACAGTTAGATTCTACGTGAAATAATAGAAAGGAGAAGTTTGTTTTGAACATTTTTTTGTAAACTTAGGTATGAGCACAGTCATGTTTGTTAGCTCGTTTTCTATTAATATGAAATGCATTATTTTATTCATGATATAACTACATATTTACAGATTTCTTTAGAACAACCGAAAAACATGCCTATATAGCAGACTATACGGCTCAATAAACTTTTTAAGCTGACATGATTTTTCGCAAAATTTAAGATAACATTTTTGTTATAAAAATTACTATTTTCGAACCTCAGAACGATGGCATGGCCCTATGTTATATTACATATATAATGTCAAGTATAAATGTCCTTTAAAAGCACTGTAGATCACTAAATTTTTGCGACACCTTAGTTTCGCGAGATAGTCATTGACACTTTGTAAAGGAGACATATTTTCAAGAATAGTTGTTATTCCTCTATATAATCGTAAGGAAAAATTTTATACGCGAGAATTAAATTTTCGCGAACCCCATATCTCATGTTATTATGCTAAAATAAAGTTCTCGCGAATAAAAAGTATTATCTTAAGTTTCCAAAGTAGATGTTTTAGAGGGGAATATTATTAATATATGGTACGATGTTTCTACTATAGGCCTCTACCATAGGTTTTTTTTTTTTTTTTTTTTTTTTTTTTTACAAAATATAAATTATATAAAACGTGCTTTCTTTGATGCAATGTAATTAAAAAAAATAAATTTTCTTCTTAAAGGTGAGTATTTTTTAAAAATTCTTTGCTCATTTACCATATCCTTTGGATTTTGTCGAAATGTAGTACCGAATAGGGATAACATTGCAGAGAGAAACCGTAATACAAGGTAGGATAATGAAGTATTGTTAATTTATTTTGAATAGTAAATTTTTTTCTATGAAAAGGAAAATTCTTCTGCATTTACAGTTTGAAACGTTAAAATTTTGCTGTGGGATGAATCTTTCATGATTCTAGATTTTTATAAGATAACTTTGCAAATGCCGCCTTATTAACATACAAAGCAGTCAAACAGATGAAAAATACTATTATCACCCTGTGCTAATATACAGAGTCAGAATGTACAGAAAATACAAGTCACAGTAGCTGTACTGTGCCCGTGTCTATGCAAAGAACTTCTGCTTTCAAAAGAACGGATAAAAAGACAGGTGCAATTGGCAAGAAACTACAAAAATTCAAATGGAAATAATTGTTGTTTTTCAGCCAAGAATATATTTAAGTTCTATCAATTGATTTGTATGAATTATGTTTTAGTAAATGAAATAAAACTCAAATAGTGTAAACAAATACTTTTAAAAATTATTTTGATGTCTCAACACACAATATTACATTATAACAATATGACCTTAATTTGTGCGAAAAACCATGTAAACTTAAAAAGTTTGTTGAGTTGTATGTGTCAAATGTATGGTAAACTCACTCAACATCCCTCATTCCTCAATCCAAAGAAAAATGAAGATGTTTGCAATGATTGCAGTGATGGCAATGGTTTTAGTTCTAATATTATTAGTTATTTAAATTGTTGAGACAAAACGTTGTAGTAAACATACTACCGGTGTGTTATGTCAACCTTCCTGTGAACATAAGGATTTATTTTATTTAAACTAATTCTGTCCGGGAAATCACTTTTGTACAACTTCCACTCGGGTGACAATAATACTCAGGGATATAACAATAGGGGGTCACTCTCCCGTTGTCCTTTTTTTCTGTATGTAAAATATTATGAAATTCAATTAAGAATGAAAACATTCATTGCAAGCCTGGTTGCTATATAAAGTAAATTACAAATTATGTATTTTTTTTTTAGAATTTCAAATGTCTTTCAAAAAAATTTTCTATTCATTTTTTTTTAAAGAGTATTTGTTTTTTTTTTAACAGAACTGAAAGAAAAAAATACAAATATACATACGATTCTTGAGATGGATAATTGTATCGTTCAGTTTGGTAATATCATTTTGCTGTGAATTTGTCACTGTTTGGATCTCACTCTTCATCTGTTTCTGCTGCGCATCTAGACTAGAAAGTGAAGACGATAGCTCTGCTGTGTTGTTGTGTACATCCAGAAGAGAAAGTGATAAGTTTTGTATTATCATATTCTGTTGCTCTTCGTTGGTATTCTGTTGTTGCTTAAACTTGGAAAGTATGTAGCTCAGTGAAGTCATGTTGCGGTGTACATCAAACACAGAAAGTGATAAGTGTTGTAGTGTTGAATTCTGTTGCTCTTCATTTTTCTTCTGTTGTTGCATGAGTTTGGAAAGTGTGTTGTCAATGAGTGTCATGTTGCGTAGTACATCTAACACAGAAAGTGTTAAATATCGGTCTCTTAGCTCCAGGTCTGTGACTGTGGCGGATATATTCTTCATCATCTCCTGTTCTCTAATTCTTATTGTCTGCTCTATTTCAAAGGTTAAAATTCTTTCCATTTTTCTAAGATCTTCTGATGTTATCAAATTTCGTTGTATAAAAATGGAAGTAGAGTTCAGAGTCTTAACTTGTTCTTTCAAAATTGCATTCTCTTGAAGCAAAAATGTTGATGTTGAATTCAGACTTTTCAGTTTTTCATTCAGGCAAGCCTCTTGCTGTGATAAAGTGGATGAAGTATTCAAATTATTGAGTCTTTCTTTCAAGATCTTGTTTTTACTTTCTAAAACCGATATCTTTATCTGGGCTGTTTGATTCCATTGCTTCAAGGTCTGAATCTCTTCTTCTAAAAAGTTTTGCTGTTGTTCAAATTTGTGAGCTTGTTGTTTCTGATCCATCATTATAGAATCTAAAACATTTTCCAGATGAAGAAGTTGTTTGTACACGTCAGGATCAGAACGTCCATTGGGCGGTGATGTAACATTGGTTTGTCCGTGGAACAACAAACCCTCAGCTCTTGAAAATATGCACAAAAATGCAATAAAAATACACATAATCCTGTTCATTTTGGTGAATTGTGATAAAGCTTCCTACTTCAAGCAAGTACATTTAGATAGTATACGTGCGTGGCTTTATCAAAAATCAAATTATTATCATCCAATAAAAACTCAAGCATATGTACACTGAAATATTTACCTCCATTGAAATAAATATTGTATTGTATAGGCAGTGTATTAGCAATTTATTTATTTTAAAACAATAAACTAATCAAAAAAAATTCTAGTAAGATAACACATAATTTCTCTATTTAATTTAAATCGCAGGGTACACACATGATGATTTCTTTTGAATTGCAATGTTATTATTATTTACAATAATCAAAGTACTCAGAAGTACAGAGAGCCGGGCTCATTTACAGAGTAGAATGGATTTCTTACATGAACCACGTTTATATTCTGATGAAAAAATTATTTTAAAACTATCAATATAAATGATAAGACACTGACAGTGAGTTTTTCAATCCTAATACCACTGTCCGATTTTGTCAGAATCAGAATTAATCTGGTACCGCAGCTGAATGTAAACAAACAGGCCAGTCTGGTTCCCTCTCCTGCTTTACCTCGTATGTGTAGAGAACTACGGTAACACTGATTATCAAAAATCCTTTCGCTAATGAACTATGAACTATGAAGTTTTCAAATTCATTACTACTAATGTTTATTTTATATAGATAAAACTCCGTTTTATTTTTGTTGCTTTATTTAGTGTTTGTATTATCTCAAAAGCGGCTGAGAGTAAGAACTATATTTTTGCACGTAACTTTAAAATGGCGACTATTGGGTCAACATCCTGCCTAGAACAGGATCCCATAAGCCGGCAATTGCTCTTTGAGCAATAAGCCCGGCTAAAAATGATATTTACATGTACATGTATTTACAAGTGTGTTATAGCATCCAGTGTATCACAATACATATTATTTCACTTGGAATTTTGGGAGAAAGAAAAAGAAAAGGATATGGCAAGTATACTACAGGATATCTTAAAAACAATGCATTGAATGCCAAAAATTTTCTACATAAAATTTTTGAAGAAGTATAATTTTTATAAATGGCATGATGTTTGTTCTAAAGTTAAATATTAATTAGAAGACCAGATAATAGAAATAGAAATATTTGGGTTTTTTTTTAATTGATGTATTGTAGAAATCTCCCAATGCTCCACCACTAGTTTTAAAGTGGGGACATAGACTTGTGCTACAAAGATGGAGCCATTCCTTACAACCTAGCTACTTATGTAGTGTTAGAGTTTGCTGAGAACTAATAACAGTCATTCAAAATCATTGTATACACTGTTCCATCGGTGTGGATTTTCCTACCATTTTCACAATTTAAACTTCCCTTTACCCAATGATGTTTTGAACCAAGCTTGGTCAAAATTATCCCAGTGGTTCCTGAGAAGTTGAAAATGTGAAAAGTTTACAGACGAATGGACTGATAGACAACGGCTAATTAATGGATAATAGGTCCTCAGTACCCCTTGCTTGTCGTAAAAGCGACTAAATGGGGCGGTCCTTTGGATGAGACCGTATAAACCGAAGCCCTGTGTCACAGCAGGTGTGGCACGATAAAGATCCCTCCCTGCTCAAAGGCCGTAAGTGCCGAGCATAGGCCTAAAGCAGCCCTTCACCGCCAATAGTGACGTCTCCATATCAGTGAAATATTCTGGAGAGGGACGTTAAACAATATACAATCAATCAATCATAACACAGACACAGGATTGGATCAGTGATAATGGAGGGGTTTTACGTGGTCTTTGATCGACAGAACAACAGAATAGGGTTTTCTGACACAACATGTCCTGCAGTGGCCAAAATATATAACGAGTCACAAGTGTAAGGACCTCACAAATTTTCAGGTTAGTATGTAAGACTTCATCTCTGACACTACAGGTCCTAGAGCGTGGTTGCCCAAGTGTCTGCCTTTTAATAATGATTGCACAGTTTGGGTCTGATTTGAATGAAAATGTAAACTAAGTTGTAAAATATAATTAAATGAATTTGTATCTTTGCATAATTGATGCTGAATCGCTGATCAAGAATTTTGCCAAAGTTAGTACTAAAAAACATCAGATGGCGTCAATGATCAATGCTCATTTGAGAAATGTGCTATGTAAAGCTTCTCGGTAACATGTAAAATGGATCTTTTACTTCTTTCAAGTTTGATCTGTCATAGATGAGCTGATCACGTCTGCAAATGCCATTTTATCGATCCTATAGCTGGGGTAACTCTGATTGTACAGCATTTTAGGCCATCTTAACCGGCGTGCAGTGTTTTAGATAAAATATTGGTTTTACATATAACTCGTTTTGTATATAATTGCCGCTATTCTTATTCCAGGTACGGTTTAAAACTGTGCCTATGTCACCAAACCCTGGTCACTGTGGTTTACGTATTAGCAGGGATCTGTGGAGCCTGTGAACTGCCTTTGTTTATTCTATAGACAGAAGAGAGACATAATTCTGACAGAGACTCCAATTATTAAATTGATGAACCAAACTGTATGCATGATTCTTAATTAAATGTAGATGATTTTGTCGTGATAGAGTCTTCTAGTGATGAGGGTTAAATTTGTAAGTGGTTGAAAATAACTAGGTATTCTTTTTACCGTGGAATAATTATTTATAGAATTGTAGTGGGAAGTGTTTTAATTGCTTTATTTTATTAAAAAAGTTATAACAATATTCTGGTTTAACAATAAGTATATCCATGTCATCTTCAAGTTCTGTATAGAAATTCGGATCTTTTTTTATAGATACCTGACACTATAATCAAAATTTCATCTAATGTAGGCTATAGGAACAAGGCATAATATGGTTGTTCCCCAATATAGTTTGAATATATATATTTCAGTGGAGCACTAATGATAAATTATATTTTTTTGGGGGGGGGGTTAAGAACTGGAATGATTGAATACGTAGTGCCTGCATTATCACGATGTTAGAAATTACTGCTTGATTTTTGTAACTTTATACTGAAATATAGTCTGTACTGTTGTGAGATGTGTATTGTTTCATCATGTATATTATTAGTAACATTAAGTTTCTTGAACATTCCAGAGTGGTCAATATGTTTGGTCATTTTTTTCTTTATTCATGTCCAGAACTTTCCAGGAATATCATGTATTTACAATTTCTAGAATATTCTAGATTTATATTACTGTATAAATACCCTGTCAATTCGATGCATAGATACATTTGTCGTATAAGCATCATTGAGGTATTACTGGGATATATTTTCACTGGGACATTGTGTGCAGCAACGGACACTCTGAAGTATGTATTTTTAGATTTTTGCTAAGTTTGTACTTAATGATTTGTATATTACTGTAAATAAATTATTGTTAAGTTTAAACTGTGTGATTGATCTTTGCTGGCATTTAGGGTTATTCTGACCCATAACAGAATTGGGGGCTCGTCCGGGATCGAGAATTTTTTTTGCATTTTTGCAGTTTATTGTCAGAATTTTGTTTAGTGAACCGTTAAATTTAATTATAAGCCAGCAGAAATCAACATGGTATTTTCGGTCACAAACTTTCTTAGTTCGCCAAGTGTTCAGGTTTTTGATACGTTAAAAAATGATGACTTGATCGCATTAGGTTTGCATCTTGGGTCAGATGTTAAATCTTCTCAGAAAAAGCAAGACATTAGAATAAAGGTTGCAAACAAATTAGTAGAAGAAAACATCTTTGAAAAATATGAATTTCCAGAATATACAGTTAAATCAGAATTAGGCTCTTACAAAATGGCAGAATATCAGTTTCAATTAGAGTTAGAGAAAATGCGATTTGAAAGAGAAAAATTAGAAAGAGAAGATCGAGAAAGAGAAAGAGAAGAACGAGAGCTTGAACGAAAATTTGAATTAGACAAATTAGAAAGACAAGAGCGAGAAAGAGAGCGTGAAATGAACTTTGAATTAGAGAAATTAAAATTACAGAACCAACCAGAACCCGCATTTGTCAAGAATGAATTTGATGCAGCAAAAAATATTAGGTTAGTTCCAAAATTTCAAGAAAAATCTGTAGACAAGTATTTTCCCCAATTCGAAAAGGTCGCAGAGAATCTTAAATGGCCACGAAATGTTTGGTCAACAATGTTACAAAGTGTACTGGTTGGCAAAGCAGCTGAGGTATACTCTGCACTAGGGGTAGCTGAAAGTTCAGACTATGAGAAGGTCAAAGCAGCAATATTAAAAGCATATGAATTAGTACCTGAAGCGTATAGACAAAAGTTCAGAAAGTATAGAAAATTTGATAATCAAACATTTGTTGAATTTTCACGAGAGAAAGAAGATTTATTCGATCACTGGTTTAGATCTAAGAAACTTGATAAAACTTTTGCTAATTTACGCCAAGTCATCCTGGTAGAAGAGTTTAAGGAATGTGTTCCTCAAGATTTGAAAACGCATTTAGAAGATAAGAATGTGAAAACTCTTGAAGAGGCAGCAGTCATATCTGATACTTATGCCCTGTCTCATAAAAAGAATTTTGTATCAAGATCTCAGAATAGCAGTAATTCTACCAATTCAGACACGTATAAAAAGAGTGGTTCAGGGTCTCAGTCTTTCACAAGTTCCCAGTCTACATCACAAGGTGGTTCTAAGTCCGGTCCAGGACGTTTTGAAGGATCTTCTGGAATAGGGTCGCTTACTACTTGTAGTTATTGTAAGAAAAAAGGTCATCTGATCAGTGAATGCTTTAAACTTAAGAGAAAAAATGATTTTGATAAAACTCAACCACATGCTTGTGCGGCAGTTAGAGGTGATAGAGAAGCCTTAGTTTCGATTTGTTCTGACACTCCTGATGTCCAGGGTTCACAGTCCAGTTCTATTGATTCTATGGAGGATTATAAGCCCTTTATGTCTCAGGGATTTGTTTCACTCAGTGACTCTAGCGAAATAAAACCTGTCCAGATTTTGAGAGATACTGGTGCTGCACAGACGTTATTGTTAGAGGGCGTGCTTCCTTTGTCTGAGCAGACTTCTACTGGTGGGTCAGTTTTATTACAGGGTGTGG